TTAAACCGGCGAAGAGCGGAGTCGCTCTATAGTATTATGGAAAAATAGAAAACTTCTCCCGTTATTGAAAATAGACCCCAACCTCTGGCAAAACTCACCGCATATTAAGAGAGACTAGATGTTATATCGTAAATCTATCTGCAGTGATCGTATTCGTCGTCGAAGGAATAACAACATGCTTCAATGACAATCCGCTCGTCGTCGTTTTTTTGAGTGGCGTCGTTTTTTGCCAGTCAGTTCAGGCCAACGACATGTGTAATAACACCGAGTAAGCGCATGGAAGGGATAGACGACCGACCGCCGGTGTAATACTTTTAGCTGAAGATTGGCGCGGCGTCGTTGTGTGTGTGTGTTGTGTGTGTTTTGTGTGTGTGTGTTGTGTGTGTGTGGTGTGTGTGTGTGTGTGGGGTGTGTTGGCTTTTTGTACGTGCGCGTGTCTGTGCGTGGCGGCGGACACATGCATCCTGAAACGTCTCCTACAACGGAAATAACACATATAGTATTTTATACCAAAGTCTTAATGTTTTCGTACTCTCTTCGCCTATTTATTGCCGACTAATTAACCCCGTAAATGCGTTCAAATGCTCACTCTCGCAACACATCAGTACATAATCAGTACATCCCACTGCCCACGCACGGCGGCGTTCAGGATTTAACCCCGCTATGCACAACAAACACATACTACATATATTAATAGCTGATATACCATATATATACTATATATTTATTATCCTATATACTATATATATATATATATATATATACCTTATACTATATATATATATACTATATATCATTATATGTTTGTTTTTTTGCAGCAGCGCGGCGTGCGTGTAGATCGTCGTGTGTTGCAGAGGAGCATATCGACGGCATTTACAGGAAGTTATCGGCAATAATAGGCAAAAGAGAGTAGACTTTGGTAGTAAATACATATCGTGTTTATTTACCTTTTTTTATTGAGACGCTCCAAGTGCCTGTGTGCGTGCGTGTGTTCGTTCGTGCGTGCGTGCGTTCGTGTGCGCGTGTGTGTATTGCGTTCCTATACTGCTGGGTGTGAAATTTAATTCAGATTTCATGCACGTCAATGCATAGGTGCAAAGCCAGGTTGCCGCGTGCAGCCAGAATATAATTATGCTGCATGCAGTGTGCGCAAAGCGAACTCTGATTTGTATTATCTGCATTCATTAGTGAATCATTATTATCTGCATTTATTAGTCATAATGAAGCAAAAAAACACCGCTGATGTAATCGTCCTGTCGTATCTGCATATGAGTTAAATTGAACTGTGAACTGTCTCAATGTTGCTGCTGTAATAGATCGATATTCGTTGCTGCTGTCGCTACGTGGAGTAGCAACTGGATGGCCCAAACTGATTCCTCTTCAACGGGGGATTCCTTCTCTTCAACGGGGGGTTCCTCCTTCTCAAGGGGGACTCCTCCTCTTCAACGGGCTGCTGATACTACTGCAAGCGGGCAGCTTCTAGTATAAGCACGTTTATGATCTAGAAAGATGATTTCTCTTTAGTTTTGTCGTTTGTCCACATCATCGGGTGTGCGTACGGTGTGCGTTGCTGCAGAGGAGCATTTGAACAACATTTATATTTTGTTCGGTAGTAAATACATTTCGTGTTTATTTACGATGATTGTACTTATTGGAGCGTTCCAAGTTCCTGCGCTGATAGTCGCAAGCGATGACTTGATGCTCGATGATGATGCATCTAGTGCTGCCCTCTCACCGCATCGCTGCCCTTGAACTATGACGTCACAGTCGAGTGCTGCTGACCTTTCGCGATGATCGCGTATACACAGAAATAGTCGCCGTCGTGAAGTAGATACATATCAAAACACGCGAGAGCGCCGTGGGAGGAGGAAACCGAGCGGGGCAATGTGATGTTTCGCAGACAGCAATTTTATTCGGGCTGCAGCGCGTAGACGCTCGTTCTAGTATAGAGGTCATAGTAGCTGTAGAACTATAGCCCTTCCGTTGTGCCACAGACCTGTGGGGCAGAGCGAGGGCTATAGTACTTGAGCTAGGGTCATAGCCGACAAGCGGCTAGGATCATCAGCCACATGCGTGCGCACGTGCTGAGCCAGCCTTGATGACTCTAGCCGAGACACCTTCGGAGGTAGCTACGGAGGGCCGCTACTGAGAGGTGCTACGGAGGGCCGCTACGGAGGGGTGCTACGGAGGGGTGCTACGGAGGGCCGCTACGGAGGGGTGCTACGGAGGGCCGCTACGGAGGGCCGCTACGTAGGGGTGCTACGGAGGGCCGCTACGGAGGGCCGCTACGTAGGGGTGCTACTGAGGGCCGCTACGGAGGGCCGCTACGTAGGGGTGCTACTGAGGGCCGCTACGGAGGGCATTCGTAGGACGCACAGTGGCGCACGCACCAATGACGAATCTAGGCCCAGCAGAACCCCGTAGCCTGTGTATTTGCACGCCATACTGTGTATATAGTGGTGCGATCAGCGTAATTTCTAGAGCACCTCGCGCGCCCCTCCGTCCACCGGCGACGGAAGAGCGGTGCCTGGCGAGGATGATAAACTTATTTCGGCGATAGTAAAAATAACGTCGTTTCAGCGATAATCGGGGCGATTCTATGTCAGCTTGTGCCGATATGCGTCGAGTGCTTACTGTCTCGATGTCGGCTTGTGCAGATATGCGTCGAGCGCTTACTGTCTCTGTGTCAGCTACTAGTGGCAGCAGTACAAATTCCATTCTCGCAATCGTGCATGCAAGACGCCCGTGATCTATTTAGGGGGAGGAGATCGCTGTGCGGCCCGTGGGCCTATGACCCACTTACACATATGCCATGAGCTCTTTCTCTCAATCTCTCTCTCTCTCTCTCTCTCTCTCTCACACCCGCGCGCTCTCTCTCACAGCTATTCCCTGCGCGGAAAGATTTACACACAGCATGTTGACACGTGTACTAGCTAAATGAATTCGCTTGCAAGATGTAAGATACCACGAATGTGCGAGTGCGTGTATAGAGAGAGAGAGAGGGGTGCGGTGGAGTGGAGAGGGGGTTTCTCGCTCGCGGTGATCGCTTCTAACATTTTGTTTTCTTCTGTTGCAGTACTACGAGATGTCATACGGACTGAACGTGGAGATGCACAAACAGGTATGAGCGCTTAGATGTGATTACTTCGTACATCTACTTAAAGCTACTACTGCTACTTACAACGGCTTGTAATTATGCTATGTAATTATGATGTGGCTATCCGCACCCACCTGCCATTAGTGTGGCGCGAACACAAACCCGTACCCGTCGCGACCCCTGGTGGTAGTGGAGAGCGGCTGGGCAAAAGAGCAAGCGGTGGGTGAGGGGGCCGGGCTGTGGAGTTACAGTTGGCTGTGCCTTTCAGCCTTCCCTCCTCCTCATCCTCCTCTTGCTCCCCGGCCCCTCCTCCTCCCCTCTCCCTCCGCCTCCTCCTCCTCTTCCTCCTCCTCCTCCTCCTCCTCCTCCTCCTCCTTCTCCTCCTCTGACAACGCACGTGGGGGAGGGCGAACTAGGAAAATACATGTGGAATCACGTTGAGCAATAGGGACTAGATGGAGCTGGCCGCAAGATGGCTATAGCCCCCCCCCCACCGCGGCCGCCGCCGCCCCGCGGCCTCCATGTGCCATATGTACACCTAGCTAGGGCTTTCATGGTGCGCGCGCGGCGTTGGCTCAACACTATAGCGTTAGCAAACGACAGTTTCACTGCGGTAAGTCGGTGTGCGTGTCGTGCGTGCGTGCGTGTGTGTGTGTGTGTGTGTGTGTGTGTGTGTGTGTGTGTGTGTGCGTGCGTGCGTGCGTGTGCGTGGATGGGGTGGTGGTGGGGGTGAGGTTGGCACACACATTTAGCCGCCCGTGGCCTCCGTGATGTTTATAGTGTTGCAGCTGCGGTTGGTTTGTTCTGCGCACATATTTGCCGTGCGAGCAGAGTTGCTGGGCAAACATCACCAGTGTGCCCATTGTGCGCCACTGTTTATTGACCAACAGCAGCCTATGATCGAAATTGGGGGGTGTGGGTGGGTTGAGTTGCGCTTGGAGGCGGGCGGCCGGGGGTGGGGGTGCTGGTAGAGTTTGCTGCTGCCGTGTGGGCGGGCATAGATAGATCTAGCTCTAGAACTATAGCCCTTCCCCACAGGCCACCGTGGCAGAGCGAAGGGCTATAGTTCTAGAGCGAAGATAGATCGGTCCGCGACATCTCGTTCGTTGTTGAGTTGTTGGCAGCCATCTTGAATTTACTTCCCCCCCCCCATTCCCCCGCTGCTGCTGCTGCTGCTGCAGGTTTCTGTGTTTGCTCGTTGTGTAAGAAGTTTTCGTCGATCGAGGGGTTGAAACGCTGCAACGGTCGTGTACGAATGGCCGTGTACGTACGTACGTGCGTGCCGCCTACAAAAACCTACCGGGTCGCTGTCAGGATAACAAACATCTTGGGCGTGCTGAAAGGCGAAACTAGTCAATCTGGCGCGTTTCCAGTTTCCGATCGTTTGCCCGGACCCGAACGCCAAATGCACACAAACACACGCACGCACGCGCTCGCATGCACGCACGCACGCACGCACAAGCTAGCATCTCTATTGCCATGTTGATGGATCCGTGCTGCGTGCGTGGAGTTGCATTTGAAATCGAATTGCATCGAATTTTGTTGTACACCGCGCTCGAACGCGGACGTGCACGCACGCACACACACGCACGCACGCACGCACGCATGCACGCACGCACACACACATATAAATATATAATCAGGAGTTAATAAAGACAAATTGTCTTTATTAACTCCTGATATAATCGTGTAATCTCTAAGACGTTGAGGCGCAAATCTGACGCGTACACACTCGCTGACTTGCGGCGCATTGCACCTGCTGTAAAGCATTTATCTGCGTCACAAGTCTCAGAACACGAGAACAGCGTGGAACAAAAACAGCGCACAGAGAATCAGCGCTATAAGGGGCTTGCGTCTCTCTCTCTCTCTCTCTCTCTCTCTCTCTCTCTCTCTCTCTCTCTCT